TGTGTGTGTGTGTGTGTGTGTGTGTGTGTGTGTGTGTGTGTGTGTGTGTGTGTGTGTGTGTGTGTGTGTGTGTGTGTGTGTGTCGGGGCATGTTCCAAGGGATTGACATGTGCGGACGTGGGCCAGGAGCGCATGCTTCACACCCGCATGACAACTGCCACAGCCGGAAACGACAGCACGTGCGAACGGGGTCGATCCTCGCCAGCATTCCACGGCCGCGCCAGCAATCAGGGCGTGGATTTGGCCGCTCAGCGCCCACCCCGCCGCTGCATTCCAAGGTTCACGGCTGCCCGCATCCAGCCACCAATGACACTTAACCGCCGCCGAGCCCCTCACCCTGCACGGCAGCAACGTCATCCGCGATGCGCCCCAGAAGCTCGTCCACGTCGCAGGCCGGCCCCTGGCCGCCCGGCAGCTGCGCGACGGCTTCCCCGTTGATGAAAACCCAGTGGTTGGGGCCCAGCGGCCGCTTCGGCAGCGCCCGGAAGTCGTCGCCCTGATCGTGGGAGCCGCGGCGGCATGCCATGATCGCAGCAGGGAGGGGCGGGCCGGCCAGGCGTTGAGCGGGCGCCGGATGCCGCGTGCATGCGCTCGTCGTGATGTTGGCGGGCAAACTGAGACAGCTGCCCTTCAATCATTTCCGGCGGCATGATGCCCCCCTAACTCATCGCGTTGCCGTGATGTGCCGCGCAAGCAGCTTCACGGCAGCTGCCGCCAAGGCGCCGAAGGGAACCCTAGCCAGCCCCCTGCAGCTGGATCGCCCCTTCCTCTCTTATTTGCAACACCACCAGGCCTATCCATGCTCAGCCGGGCTGTCAGTGCTGACTCACCTTAGCTTGGTGCTCCAGCCCCATTTGCATGCCCAGCGCTGTTGACAGGTGCGCAGACACCTGCGGTGGCAAACGATCAGCCCGCACAGCGGCAGCATAAGCATGCGGAGGTCGACCCTGGAGACGCAAAATCCACCTTGGCATTGGAGGACCCAGGCACGTGCGGTCGCAGCCTGACAGCAGCGGCGGCGGCCAGCCGGCGCCCGCGGGCCTGCGCCCTAATGAGCTGCATCATTCGACCCGGAAAAGCTCTTAAGCACTCAGATGCGTCAGCAGCCGGCGCCCAGCCGTTTGACGGGCAGGGTCAATGAAACAAGGTCGCTGGGGGCGGGGGCACACCTCATTCTCGACCCCAAAGTCCGTGGGGAAGCTCACGCCCGCCTCCAGGCACAGCGGCGCCCGCGTCGCGCAGTGCACCAGCACCAGCGGCGCGCCCGCCGCCACGGGCGCCCCCTCCAGCGCCCCCGCCGCCGCCGGGTCGAGCGGCCGCGCCTCCCAAACAGCATCATAGCTGGGGGCCTCTGTAAAGCACACCAGCTGGTGGCGGCTGAATTTCGCGGCGCAGGTGGCGGTTACAGGCCGAGACGCGAGGTACAGCGGCCGGGAGCCGCCCACGCCATCGAGCGGCTCCCCGCGTGCCATCGGGTTGGCAACCACGTGCAGCTTCTGGCCGTACCGCAGGCCGTCGCCGTCGTACTGCGGCTCGAGCGGCGTCGGCCGCAGGGGGACGTGCTTCGAGAGCAGGAGGGTCGTGCGCGCGCAGGGCGCGGCGCGCGGGGCGGCGC